TGCAATAGTCCAGCCTGGACAGAACAAGAGCTTGAACAAGGAGTTGTGAAGCATGTTCTGAAAGAAAGGGCCTGATTTTCTTGATGTTGAATAAGTACAATAAGTACTATTATCTAATTAAGAAGTACTAGTATCTATTTAATAGGTACTAATATCTAATGAATGAGTACCAGTATATGAACTAGTATCTAATGAATAAGTACTAGTACCTAAAGAATAAGCACTACTAAAGAATATGCACTAGCAGCCAATGAATACGTAGGCTACCTAATGGAATAGATGATAGTATCATAAAAATTAAGTATGAGTAGCCTGAAAATAGATGGGTTACTAGTACGTTTTAAGGATTAAATATTAAAATATCTTACCATATATTAAAATGAATACTTAACTTTAATTAAAAAAACAAACCTACATTATAAAACTGAGTTCAGTTAAATATCATTCAAAGCCATCTAGCGAACCTGAATTTTGAAATTTTCTGAAACCAAAGTTCAAAATAGTATGACAAAATAGGCAACACGTGACATTCTACTCACTGTCCACATCCTCAGGAATTATACTTTTTGTTTTGTTTTGTCCAAATGTATTTATTTTCCATTTTCAAAATGTACTTAATTTTCAATACATTTTAATTTTATATTTTTTATTTATTTTAATCAACATTTTAATAAAATTTTTATATAGGCCTACCTCTTTTTAAAACACTGACTAGATCAGGTGGTAAGTTTTTTTTTTTTTTTTTTTTGTATATTGCAAAAAGCAAACAGCAACGCATTTAGATAATTTAGTAAGTAACTTCGGACATAAAAAAAGTCTCATTTGCTGAAATCATAACCTTAACGCAGTGTTTTACAAATGTATTAACCAAGAGTAATATATGAATTGTGAGAAACATGGAGCAAGATAACCCAATATAATCTAACCCTGCATGCATGTGACACTGTACAAAGATACTGGATCTTTGAATTGTCCCACAGATATTTGATCTTTGAACTGTCAAAGACCATTGCTCTGTTCTTCAGCAAGAGAAATTACAAATAGTAGTAATAATAATAATAATAATAACAACAACAAACACTTAGTGACATCAATAGTTTTTTTTACCACTGTAATATTTTTGTTTAATTTTCCTGTGGCAGGCACCCATCAAAAGTCATTTTTAAATATTTCCACAAAAGTTTCCACAGAGATGTCTAGGGAACATATTTCAACACACTGGAAATAAGAGGACCTTAAATAACTGTTAAGACAGTGGCAAGGCTGCATTTTGCACTGAAGAGCAATGCAACTGATGCTCCAAAGGTCACAAACATTGAATGAAAAATTTAAAACAGAAGTCTTCATTTCCTTTCTTTTTAATCTCATTACTGTCTAGGAGAAACAGTTAGTGCTCTCTTCTGTTATATTTCTTTCCTGTGAGTTCTGTTGTTGTTTTTTACCATCAATATTTATTTGTGAGACATTGCGAAGACTAAACCACATTGTCACATTATCTTCCATTTGAATGGCTTTGCATGTATATTTTTGCAGGGTTGCGTGGGTAGAGATAGTGGTCCAGGACAAGGTCAGATGTTTTGTGGTGTACTTGCACATTGCCCTGACAAACACACTATCAACCATTACCAGACTATCTAACAAACAGAAAAAGGCTAACAAATCAGGGTGAAAGTCCCCTTGAGCACTGTATTAAAACATCTCCGTCAAAGCAGGCAATCTCACTGATGCAGCCATGCTTATGAGCACATTATGGGGTGCTGTGAGCTCACTAATGGGCCTGTTTTACTCTGGGATCCAGGTCATGGTGCCATGTCTTCCTCCAGCTCCTCTCTCCACTGCTGTTATTAGTACTGATGAGGTAAGAAGCTTGAAAAGTCTTTATTCCTAAGCCTTTAGATCTTATTTGTGTGTGTGTATTTATTCCAATATTTACTTTAAAAAATTCTTCCTGTACAGTATATGGGCACCTGGTATTTTGTGGCAGCAGCTGCATGGGATGAAGATGATCTTAAGTCCTTCAAGATCACTGACAGCTCTATTCTTCACATTCAGAAAGGTGCTAATGACACCCTGACAGTGACTGAAAACGCTCGCGTGTGAGTGGAAAACTGCACACACACACACACACACACACACACACACACACACGTTTATACTACTTTGTGGGGTCCTAATGTCCCCACAAAGATAGTAAAAACAGAAATATACAATAAATATAGATAGTAAAATCAGAAATATACTGCTTTGTTGGACCCACAAAGACAACCTCTTATAAATTATAATAATGTTTTATAGAATGGTAAAAGTCACTATAGTATGGTCCTAATCTACACTAAACCTAAACCTACCATATATACATACATACATACATAAGAATGTTAAAACAATAACAATCTATAAGTACATTAAAACATTCTTGTCTGATTTAAGGACCCCACAAAGTCAAACTTTCCTTATTTTACTATCTTTGTGTGGTCAAGTTCACACACACACTGACATTTGACTGTTCTATTATTTACTATATGTGAGGTTTTCAAGTATATAAAATCTTTTTGTTTATCACAGTGGAGATCAGTGTCAGAAAAATACTTGGAGCTACTTTGCTTTGTCTGTGACAGGCCCTTTCCTGTTTAGAACCGGTAGGAACTGATGAACGATCTGATCAGTCTGAAACAGTAATTCAGCACTGACTATCCATGTCTTACACTATATAATGAGTTGATATCAAGCAATATTATTCCATGAGATCCATTAATAATCTTTATCATTATTTTTTTTTAGTTGTTATTATTTCAAAAAATAAATGATTTCTTGTGATTTTCATTTCCTTTTTAAAATGTATCGTGTAAGCAGATTTTGATGCTGTTGCGCTGATCTGGGATGGCAAGCTCATAAACTGCCCTTCATGTATTATAATATTGCTTGTGGATGAAAACGATGAAGCCAGTGCTATGCTATTTGGTCAGTATCATGTTTGATCTTTGTATTCTTTCACTTGCATGATCAGAGCAACATGTTAAACTGGACAGCAATGGAAACATTTAATTCAATGTGCACCCACCCCGAAACCTTAAAGTAAATCTCTAATACTGTATGTGTGCTGCATGTAAAGTCACCAATGCAAAGTGATCCAGTTACACAACAGACTTATATTGATAATGAATGTCTGTCTGTCCCCCATTGCAGCTCGTAATGAAAACACACCAGATGAAGTGATACAGGAATTTAAGTCAAAAATGGAGTGTGTTTATATGGAAGACTTCTTAAAGGCACCTCTGAAAAATGGTTTGTGTCTGACGCATTTGAATCTTGATTGTGTAACTTAATAAGTAAAACAAAGACCGGCAAATATGATGTGTGACTGTAATTCCACAGTTTATGTAAAACTTATCATATCTGTATCATTTATTTTAGGTTATTGTAAACTTGATGAGGCTGCTTAAAACACAGGTGGTAAGTGCAAACACTGTTTCAAAACTGTTTAAACTGAAAATGACTTTTTTTTTTTATAGTTTATAGTGCATAATTTCTCATTCCTAAAGGTCATGGGCAGATGCAGAGATCTTCACACTTTAGATCTACAATAAATTACTGAATTGATGGAAATTAGGATTCCCTGTTTCGGGTTTAGTGACTAACTGACTGATTAAATAAAATCAATACTTCAATAAAACAATTTGTTTTGTGAGTTTGTGAATAACAAAACTTTGATTATTGGTATTAATATCATTATCATGTACCTGAGAAGGTGAATACAGATATCTCACAGCTACAGGTCCAGATGCACTAAATCCATATTAAACACACAAAGCCCAGAAACGAATATAATTAAATATATTAAATGTTAGATAACAGATACAAAAAAACAGGATAATTTGTTACAGGGATTTCCCCCCCTCACATTTTAAATATCTGGATAATTTTTCCCAAAGCCCTGTTTAATTTCTCTTCCTGCTACCATAACATGAGATTATTTTTATAAAATTCATTGTGTTAACAAATAGACCAAATTGAATAATATCTGGAGCAAACTTGTCAAAATGTGTAAATTCAGTCCATCAATCAATGCAGGCCCATTATATTACATATTAATTACATTAGCAACAACAATCAACTGCAGTGATTCTGATCCAGTATGAATTTTAAAAACAACATTAAAGAGTATCCTGGCTAAAGGAGAATGTGTTTGATTAAAGCAATAAACAAAAACTATTATATATAATACTTTATTGATGAAAATTGACAATTTATGCAATTTTTTTTCTTCAAAATACACTGTAAAACTATTAACCTTAAAAAACACATCTGTTTTAAAGCCTATCACTCCTTTAATACTTTCTAACATGGCAAATTATGTTTGTGCAAATTACATAAGATTATATTCTATAAAATAAGATTATATTTTACAGTGTATACATGAACCACATACATTTCACATTTTTCTTTCAACATGCAGTGGAATAATACATAACTAAAGTTTTTACTATTTACAGTAATCTTTATCTCTTCGATTGTTAAATGCAGTTACAGGTTCACTGCCGTCATCAGTTCAAAGGCAGGGAAATAATTTTATATAATAATTTGCCTCACTGAATTCTGTAACAGATTACTGATCAGTGAACAGATTACGAGGCCTGTTTAGTACAGGAGAATGTGGAGAATGTGCTTTTTGCACTTCCATCTTAATTTTACTACATGCTTTGGCATGAAATTACATCCAATCATAATGTTAATGGTTTAAAGCAGCCATATTGGAATAATCTTGCCTTTTAACTCTGTACCCAGTGACTTATTAATTCTATAATTAGAAAAATATTAATAAATAAAAACACATTTCTTTCTTTTCAACATTTTTTATCCCATTTCTGAAGGGATACAATGGACTAATTGATTATATCCCTCATCTAACTGATTGTTGTATTAACAATAATAATTATTATAAATATAACTTTTGCCCAATAGGTGGAGTCGTCAGCCCTTTAATATTACATGGTCATGTATGGTTTTGCCAGAAACAGCTTAAATCCATTCAGCATCCTCACCTTTAAACAAAAAAAGAAAAAAAGAAAAAAGGAAATATCCTCACCTTTAAACTTTCAGTGCTTGGCCCCTAATAATGATACATATTCTACAGAACATTTTACAGTAAATATTGACTATTTTATAGAGAAATATTCATTCTTGTTTCATTGCTCATGGGCACTACAAAAGCATTTACATTAAACACCAAAGACAGTACAGTTCATATAAACACATTAGATATCTATTGGCTAAGATAAATGCATTTTAATAATTCACTTATTCACCTTGGCTTGGTCTCAAACATGTTTGCGTTCTAGTTTTAAACCTCTAAAATTGAGATGCGACTACTTTAAACACTTAATTTTATCCTTGCTTTGCTTTTGTTTCCTCATGAATCTCTTTGTTCTCTTCAAAACAGAGCTGCCTTTAAAAAACTCCACTGTCTACAAACTTTGAATCTTTGTGTAAAAAAAAGCAAATGTTTTCATCATCCTAATAAAAGCATCAGAAACTAGCCATTCCCTTCAGAGGATATAAGTTCATGCATTTTGGTCATGTTGTATAGACACTGCTTTTTACTCACAGTCAAGCTTAACTTTCTGTGAGAGCAGCTGCCTTGTACGAATGCGACAAAATTATATACTTATTATACAGTAAATCGAGAACATGTTCTTCTTTGGCAGCACTAATTCCCTGCAAACAAAGTTTAATTGTCTTAAGTCCTTGTGAAATAAGAGCTTTAAATCCTATTTTAAGTGCAAGGTTTTTATAATAAATCTAAGTATTGCGCTCCTATTAGCAGCACTCTGTGCTTAAAATTTCAGCCCTCTTAAATCACACAGCATGGATGTGTGACTTTAACCCTGGCAAATGGCAATAACACTCCTCCTGTTTCGTATAACAAAGGCACTTGACAAATATGAGGCATCTGTGAAAAGCTAAGCTGGCATTTCCTTTGCAGGAAATCTTTAACTTTTGAGAAGTTGTAGCAAAGCCATTATATTAAACTATGTTTTGCAGTAATTTTTATTTTTTATAATCTGATAATCTGACTAAACAAACTGGGCAATAACACATAATGCCCTGGTCACCATGTTGAAGAGTCTAACCAAGCCAAGCTGATGCATTTCGCTTCTATGCTCTGTCATGCAGGGCATCTCCACTGACTCATAATGCAATAATAATGCATAATGCATCCAGTCTTTCATTTAGGAACATTGATCAAACTCTTAAACATTTACTGAATGGTCATTCTGCATTGATATGTCCATCTATTTTAAAAATGCATGCTTATCTTAGCACGTAAAATTTCCTGTGACAGTCATCTGCCATCACTTGTTCCGTCACTCTTACTCTTCAGTAATTATTATATTCAGAACTCTTTAGCTGATCAGTGAAAACACCACTACAAAAACTGATCTATAACTAATATTTAACTCTGATGCAGGATGTGTGTCCACAAACTCACTTCCTCTGGACAGACTTCACACAGATGTGTGTAAGTGTGTGTGATTCCTCCTCACTCGTTTCTGGAGGTGATGTCCTGATGAAGAGACACAATATGGATGTTAAATTCATTATTTGGTCCCATTTTTTGTCTCTGCGTACAGAAACTTCATAAAGTCAGGAGTTTATTATTAATTTGTACCCAGATTCTCACCTCAGTTTTTGCTCTCCTCCAGCGCACTGCGGTTCCAGGTTTAGACATACCTAAAGGAGAGAATGATTTTACAATATTTTACCCATAAAATAGTAGAGAAGTTAGGTTTATAATATAACTGTTGACCGCTCACCCTAAATCTAAATGGTTTATGGGAGTGTATTCCTTTATGTTATTTAACAAACTTGATACACAACAGTAACAAATCTTGATACTGATCAAGAAATCAACATGAAAACACACACACACACACACACACACACAGACACACACACACATATATATATATATATATATATATATATATATAAAACATTAATATACATTACTTGTCTTATTGTGAACAATTCATTGGAGCAATTTATTTAACAAATTAGTAATTTAAAATATATAATAACTTTTCAGTATCTTTCCCATAAACACCTGTTTTTTTCTGTGTAACTCACTTTTACCAATCAAATGTGGATGAATAGAATTTACAAAAAGTCCCATGCTACATGTTTTTTTGTTTTTTTTTGTCATTGCTGTATATTTTTCATTAAGAATATGTCAGATTATGTAAGCATAATAGTGACTAAGCTTGCTATTTTACTTGATTTGTTTACTCACATATAGATGAAAGCAGAACCATGAATGCCACTGCTGCAGAAACACCTCCCAGCAGCCACCTGTGAGGATTATGATGTCATTAATCTATTACAAGTAAAGCTCCGCCCAATTCCACAACAAATGAGCCACACAGACAGAAATCTCACTGGCTGTGTCCAAAATCACATACTCTCTGAGTAGGTACTTATTTTGAATAAGTAATTACTTTGCAAGAAAAAAAAGCAGAATTATAATATATAAACAGAAAAACTACAAGGTCACAATTATGTGATAAATTAAATTATGAGATTTTTATTTATTTTTTTATTGCGTGGTGGAAACAGGCTTCTTTATATTTTTGGCCACAATTTCGGATACAGCTTCTCTCTCTCTCTCACACACACACACACACACACACACACATTTTCATTACCCAGAGGAGATGGCAATGCAGAGGCACAAAGTAAGGATGAGGAGAAGGACTTTCATGAGCACAGTTTCTGAAACAAACATAATCAAAATAGTTTTCAGCCGTTTCTATTTTTCCATATTCATCAAAACCTCATAGTAGGCATAGGCAAGGACTGAAGCTGTAGCTCTTTCATTGGCCCTTTCTCACCTGATGTCTTGCTGGATGAGCTGTAACTATTGAGTTGACACATGGATGGGGGAGGAACATCTAGGAGGCCGCTCACTGGTTGGCTGAATTGTTCATGGGCGGAGCATGACTCACATGGAGGCTCCTCCTCTTCTAACTGAGTCTGAGGAGGCACTTTATCAGGGGAGGAAACAGGATCTGTGGGATCTATAAAGAAACACACATCTTCACAAAAACTGAACAGGCAAATATTTTAAACTAGCTGTGTCAATGATGTTGAACTGCAAAACTAGAAGCCTTCTAACCATAGGTGAAGCTGATGGGTGTGTTTGTCTCATAGCTGTTTTCCAACTCCTCCAATGATGATGACTGGAATGGGGTAACGGGGACAGATCTTCCAAATACATTTCCTTCCAGCCAGGATTGGCATGATTGGCTCACATCGCTAAGAAGACTGGCCAGTGATTTTTTTGCCCGGCGCTTTCGTCTGAATATGCTAATAAGCATACACACACAAAAAGGGTTTATTATTCTGTCAGATTTAAAATTGCTTTTTAATCCTGGGAGACACAGGCATTGATATTCATGACATTAGGGCACCATATACAGGTGCATCTCAATAAATTAGAATGTCGTGGAACCAAAGACTTAAACTACTTCAGTCTGTGTGCATTGAATTTATTTAATACACGAGTTTCACAATTTGAGTTGAATTACTGAAATAAATGAACTTTTCCACGACATTCTAATTTATTGAGATGCACCTGTATATCTATTTAGGAAGCCATTAGTTATAAAAAACATTTTGTATAGGCCAAATTTGCATCGAGGTATAATTTGGAAAAACGTGGCATTTAGGGTTGCAAAATCTCACCACTATTTTTTAAAACAGTATGTGAAAGTTGAATTCACAACACAAATGTATTTGAAAAATAATATATTTCAACCAGTAAAAATACAGTCCTGAAAAGTTTAAACCATTTAAATACTGTAATAAATATTAATATCAAAGTCTATTTTTTACTATAATATAATAATTGTAATACCACCTAATTAAAAAAAATAATGTTATATCACTGAGGCAACAACAAAACAGCTCAGAAAACACCTGAAAAAATTTTAAATGAATAATTTTTGTACCATTCACTGAATAAACTCCACTGTGTTACAACAACAGAAAAAAGTTTGACCCATAATGCCCAGAGTTGTATTTTTGCTAGGCTTAGAAAATGTTTTCAAATATATGTATATTCAAAATTTCAGTGCATGTAAGACTTTAATCACAAGGCATACAGA